CATATGGATCTCAGATATTACTAAGATATTCTGTAATGTTGTATTCAAATAAATTTGATTGCCTCTGCTTGTGTTCTTGTTCCCTACGGTACCAATCTAAGGCAATTTTAAAAACTCAGTGGGATCCAAGGAAAAGAGAACTATATTAATTCTCCTGAAACATTTAAGGTTAGAAAAAATCATTTATATCTTAGTTATCAAGTAATATATTTTGGAATTAAAGAAATAATAATCGTTTGATTCATGCCATCATTTGAAAAATCGGGTATCAGCGTAATTCTGTAGAATATGTACAGCTGCGATTAGTATATTTCGTCGAAATTTTAAAAAAATCAGTTAACTTGTTTCTACTTCCAAACTAATATAAACATTACAATACAAGGTCAAGTAGAGCTATATATAAGTAAATGAGGATAATATCGAACTAATAAAAACCTTGTAATTTATTTTAAATATGTTTATAAGTACTTCCATGGAAGATGGATAGTGGCTAGCAGTAGAATCCAGAATGCGCGTTTCGTCCTATTTGAGACTTGTTAGCTGCATCTCAGAGTTGATGTTCACTATGGGATTTGAACCCAATACATTTCGCTTCAAACGTCATCGCGTTATCCACTCACCTACTTCCATGAAAGTTTCTAAAAAAAAGTTTCATTGTGGTAAAACATTTTATCTGAGTTAAAATCGTCAAATGTTTACTATGAACGTTATATATATTTCTAGTTTCCGGTTTACTATTACACTCATTAAATTGATTGATATAAGTACACTCTTTTAGTCAACGATAATTTAAACATATAAATTGCTACACAAAGGGAAGTTAATTGAAGAGTGAAATTTGTCTCTTTCTTTAAATCCATGTTATACAAGATCAAACAATTGAAGACTTTGTAACCAATGAAATATTACCATGAATAATAAACATAAAAACAGAAATCATTAAAATTGAAGATTGAATTCACTCAGCAGGAAAATGAATTATTATTAAAATGTCATTCTTATTTGGAAATTATGTAACATTTCACTGTTTATATTATCAATGGGAAGTTTCAAACAAACAAAAGTAAGTGAATTTAAACTTCACTCCATTACACAAGCGAATGGTTATCGGGACTCAGTAGCTGAGTGGATAATGCGATGACGTTTGAGGCGAAAATTAATGGGTTGGAGTCCGAGAGTGAACATCAACTCTCAAATGCAGGTACATCCAGCTGACGAGTCCCGAAATTATGGATGAAACGCGCTTCCTGGATTCCACTGCTATCCACTATCCATCTTTGTTTATATTGCTTGTGAATTAAGGCTATATCGAGGCGATAGGCACAGTATGCACATATGCCAATAAGAAACTGATCTAGTGCAGTTCTAAACATTAATGGGAAGATTCAAACAAACAACAGTAAGTGAATTTTTCTATAATGTTAAATATAATTTATTTATCATAATTCTTTTGTCACATTTTAAAATCTTGTTAGATCTAAATAGTTTTAGATGATCGTTACACATTATAACTTACAAATTTACTTGCTATATAGCTAATTTGGTTGAATGAAAGGAAAACAAATTTTTCAATTGTATTCAGTAAGTAGACATGAAGGAAGAAAATACTCCATGAATTGTTCACCACAAAAATGACGAAACCCATTGATACATAAATTGTGACTTTTTTTCCTTTAATTATAATAAGTTGTCACATAAGACTTTCATTCACTTTATTCAATCACATTTTATTTTTGAAATGCTTCTAGGGGTACGAGAGTGGTTGTCACATTTCAGTTCATCATACTATACAAAAATACATTTTCTTGTAATGTCTGATAAATGGATGAGACTAAGGTTGATCTTGACGACCTGAAGGAGTTACCACAATGACCAAGGTACAACTGAGTGGTGTTATTTTATGAGTAGTTCAGTGTTTGTTTAACACTTTCCAAACCTTACTGCCTGCGGTGGTGGTCCATGAAGTACGGTGAAGTGTTCTACTTTTAAGAGTAACGTTTAACAAAGCTCTATTCTTGCTATGAAAAGGAATTATCGATGGAAATGCTAAAAAACACCTTACTGACACCACGTTCCTGCACAGCCAGCCGGGCTAAGAATTAGATATATTCAGACTACAACCAAGCTATATGGTCTGTTATGATCGTAAAAACAAATGTTCCAGAAGACGTAACTTGTCTGGTTCTCCACAGTATCTAAGTTTGACAATAACGTCAAAGTAATAGACGTTGCAAGTTTGGTTTTCAACCAACAAATCCTATTGTCATCATCATCGTTACTTTCGTTTTTCCAAACTTTGTAGCATCCTAATCAGATAGCAAAGTTTTCATCAGTAACCGCCTATATTCATGTCTCTTACATAATTTAATTCTATTCCCAATAGTCTTGAAGTTTATTGAATATGCTCGAATAGAGTTTTAACTTTTTAAATAATATGAAAAAAACAGTTAAAATTTTTTTGAATCCCACATTTCCTTTGAAAACAGGATACTTTTGACAACTTAGATTGGTTCGTAATTTCAATAATCTCCACAATTTATGATGAATTCAAGAAACGTAGTAATTTGTAGCCATCAATAAACAATTTATAAAGTGTTTCTGTTTACCGAAGATCGTTTTCGAATCTTAACTTGAAAAATACTATGTTTAGGTTAAATATAACTGAAGTTAAAATGACAGCACAATTTTTTAAATAAACCTTTCACAGTCTACAAGTTATTACCATCATATCATACCGTTTTCAATTATGCATTTAATGAAAAGAATGATATAATGGACATTTTTTATGATGCCCTTGTTTTACATATTTACTCTTAAAAACTACTTAACCAAGTTCATAAGTATACTTAAATATACTTTAAATGGTTTTTTTATTTCAACTTCAACTCCCCTTTGATCTTTGTTCAAATAATGAAATTTTTACAATTTAAATAAAACATATTTTAATACTTGAGATCATGAGCCAGTTGAAACTAGACCATCATGGGAAACCTGGAAGTAATGGACGGCCGTTTTGTCCCGTTGTGAGACTACTCAGCAGTGCTCATCCACGACCCCATTCCGCCAAATTCAAATCAAGGATCTATCGGTTTCGTGCGCGAACGCCTAACCTCTGGACCACATTTTGTTTTAATCCGACCAACTAATTATATATCTCAGAAGGAGTTTTTGCGGAGCTTTCAGTATTTTTTCAAAGTTGAAATCATGAGTCAATTGAAGCTAGACCACCATCGAAAACCTGGAAGCACTGGACGGCCGTTTCGTCCTATTATGGGACTTCTCAGCAGTGCGCATCCACGATCCCGCACTCGCAAGATTCGAACCTAGGACCTACCAGTCTTCAGCCAGAGCCCTTAACCGACAGATGTTATTTGTGTTTTATATGTTAAGATAAAACATTTATAGTTTATTAAGAAATAGAGTTTTTCACTGTCGACTAGGTATATTTTAAAACAAAATAATGGTTTTGCGTTTTTCTTCTTCAATACAATATTGAAGAAGTGTCTGGTAAAGTATAAATCACTGTAATACACATAAATATATTCCATACAACTGTCTGCTAATTACATTAAAATGTTCTATAATATAAAAATGAATATTAATTATATCAACCTGAATGTGGTTTTTTTTTCTTTAAATATGCATCAAATTTTAATGAGTCTATTCTTTTTTTTTTCTGAATCTTATAATCAGATATAAACTGACAGTTGCCTTTAAACTCCTTTTCTAAAAACTATATGCTTCGTACTTTTTGGGTTGTAATAAGTAGATGAAAAATAAAAGATTAAATGAATTGTTGCTTTGTATATATATTTCATTATTGTTGAGAGTATGATGTCTGAAACGATGCTATCATTCGTGTGCGTTTGTGTTACTGATATTCAAAGACGTACACAATCAACCTTTGCTGTCAAATATGCGTCTTTAGCAGATGTCTCGATATCCCACGTGACTACGATTTGATTATTTCTTTAGATGGCTAAAAGCACTGGATTCTAGTACAAGTTTTAGTGTGAACATCAAAGTAAAAATTTTGGAAATTCGAACTAACAGATATTGTATTAAATAAAAAGTACGTCTTCAATTTCAATACTATCTGCCATCTGAAAGATAATATAGAATAAATGGGATGTGTCGTGCAGTGAAATCCAGGGCTTGAGTTTCGCTCCACGTGGGACTCACTATCTAAATGTATACACATTTCAGATTTATTATTCACTACTGGAAGAAACACGCGTCAACTGCTTATCGTATTCTATCCATTCTATACTTATTTATTTATTTATTTAAACACATAAATATTGGTACAAGGAAGCACCAGATACATATGCGCCACACAAATCTCATTCAATTTGTGTGAGGGCTGTGATACTGCCCATGTGCCCGAAATGAAGCAGGTGGTTTTCTTAGGGGCCCACACCCGGAGCCTTTGACCGAAAGATCTGATCCACAAGGCAGTGGAGCATCCTCAGGAGATGCAATCCCATGGTAGCCAGTGATCAACAATTGATTCGTACGCCATTTGTTCCCTCAGGATACGAGACCCAGCTCATGTGCACCATTGGTTTGGAATCAGGGTTTTCCAACTCCCCTAGGTGAACTTTCCGTGTCCACCAACCCGGTTAAAGCGTCGGACATTCGCTTTTCGTCCTCTCGCTTTCGTAAACAACACCCCGCCACTGTGAGAAGGCAGTGAGTAGGACTTTCCTGGCAGAGGCTATATGTATTCGCTGGCCATGTGAGAACATTTCGAGAGAGAGAGTGGACTCTCCCCACTCTCGGCCATACCAGGGCGTTTGGGGGCTATTCTATACACATTCTATACACACCTGGGTCATAACATCTATATCGACGTAATTCCGACCGATTATGTGTGACCAAACGTCAGTGAAAATATTAACAACAGAATATTCCACAACATTTCAAATTCAATTTTTAAAAAATATGTGTTTTGAAAATAAAAAAATGAGTGACACTACTTAATATAAAACAAAACTTACTCTTAATCTCGGGAAATGTATTAATTCTAATGGTCTGAATACAATAATTTCACGTTGTTGTATATGCCTTAATTTTAAACGATTATTACATAATTCAATACGTACAGCATATGTAATTGATGCAGATGCACCACCAACTAAACAATTTGTTGGTAATTCAAATGTACTAGGCAAATCTGCTGGTAATTGAAATTCAAAGTAAAATACATGTATACCACGTGTTAATGTAAATTTTGTCTTTGTTCTACCATGTTTATCAATGGATGGTTGTAATTTTTCACTGGTATCATTATTAACATTTAATAAATCATAATATTTTTTATTAGTATTATTCGATGGTATCTTTTTATTTGTTTGTTCATTGAAATTAAACTTATCATAATGGTATTCAATGTCATTTGGGTTTTTGTTTAAATGATTATCATTTTTCAATGTTTCAATGGTGCTACTTGTTGTGAACTGATCAATGTTCTCCATAGGTTTACTTGATAAAACATCATTATATTGTTTAAGTAAATCAAGTTTCGATTTGTAAATTAATTGTAAATCACCATGGTATATACACTTTTTCTTCTCATCATCTATTTCAAATAATCTTTTCCATTGTTCTAAACAAAATGTAGAAAGACATGTTGAATCATATATTTTATCTGTTGTTTTTGTTATCTGTTGAATAGATCTTAGTGGATAATCATCATTATTAATAGAAGTATTTGGAGAAGCTAGTTTACTAAAACTTTGAATACTTTTATTACTGCTTTCAGCATCCAATGAAGATGTTAATGATTCTGAAGCTGAAATCCATGATTCACCAATTCGTGTTTCACAAATTAAATCATGATCTAATGCACATGATGAATGATTATAATTACAATTAGATTTACAATGTGTATCAGATAAGTAACCACGATCAGTACAACAAGTTAAATGTGTACGTGGTGATACAATTTCATATGATTTACATGATTTTGTTTGTTTAAACATATTTGATGCATTTGAAAGTAATTTACAAATTTTATTTTCTGCCATACAAACATTGGTATTAGTGAATTTGTTAAAATTTGTAGTAGATGTTGATAAATTAATTCCACTTGTTAATGAACCAGGTCTACTTATACAACTTTCATTTTGAGTATTCCAACGAGTTTTAGCCAATCCATATAACCACAGAATACAACCTTGTTGTGTTAACCATGAAAAAAGTAGCAGATAAACTATTAGTCATAGAGTATTACAAAATTTATGAAATATATACAATGATGTAGATTAATAAATATAAACCATAGTTCGAAAACTTTCTACAAACCTATTTTATAGTTAAGTTGACGAATACTTAACACTGGCCCTCTTCAAAATGAATCTTTTTTCATTAAACTTTCGTTTTTGTTCTATTTTCTACAAGAAAGATATTTATTTTTTTTAAATTAAAATCACAGATTGATCTAAGTTAGACGACCAGTGTAAATCTGAAATCACTGATTGTCTGTTTGTATTGTTTCCATGGTGATGAGAAAATCGTAAATAAGTGCTCATTTCTTTATTCATCAATTTAATTTAGTTTTTCCCTGATTTTCAAAATTTTCATGAATAGTCATAATAAGAATGGATTTTATAGAAAAAAAATTAAGGAATAGAAGAAGTTTATTTAACCGGAAAGTGTAATGCCATAAATTCAGAAAATTTCCAGTTTGTGATGCAAATCATTCAATAGGTTCATCTTGTTTTATTTATTTTAATAAAACTTCACAATAGTCTAAAATGTTATTAACTAAACGCATTGAAAACTCAATAAGAAATTTAAAGAGAAAAATTTGGCCAGAATTTTCACTGAAATGTGGATATTCATCACTTGGAGACATTAAATATCCGTCTTATAATATAATAAAATAACTTAGAAAAACCATCACAAGCCTTGAATAAAAGTTAAATCAATAACAAACGTTTTTATGATTATAATGAAACCTCAACTATCTCCACAATATATTACTAACAATTATCACTGCTTCAACAGGAAACTCGCTGAGTTCTAGTGAGAAGCTGAACAGCGAAGTTCAACTGTGTTAAATGTATGGCATTTACCATGCTGAGGAATCCTATAACAGGACGAAACGGCCGTTTAGTGATTCCAGGTTTTCAACAGTGACCTAACATTGATCGGTTCATTATCTCAATATATATATATCCTTCTTTCCCTCATTCATTTACGTAAAATTCTATCTTTTCATCACATTCCATATTGTTTTTAAAATCATTGTTGTTCAATAAAGGTTAATGGAGGTATTTTATTGCCGATTTCTAAATTACGGAGTTGTATATATCACAAAACCCTTTTCTAATTGTAAAGGGGTGGAAGGGATCAATCATTTGGCCAAATTTTAACGATTTAGTGAAGTATTAATAATCATTTACAAATTATTAGATTAAGTTCATTAAGTTTATAGGATCTGTTTCTATGAATACATGTAATTATGATGTATATTACATTTCTGACTGAGTATGACTGAGTTATGAAGTGCTCCCTGATTTTTAACGGCATTGCCCTTACTTCAACTAAGATCAGTTTAAGGCAGATGTAACATAAAATTTATCCCTAATAAGTTCATTCTAAGCATGTGGTTCTCAATCTACCCTTAAAGAAGTGGTAATAAATGAACATCAACAGATTAGCAAACATTTGAAAAAGTCGGTCCACTTAAAACAAATAACTAGTTGTCTTAGTTGCGCTAGAACACAATGCCAAAAACTAAATATAGTGAAAATCTAAAGAAAAAATAAACAATTCATGCTCGCGCGCGAAACTAATGGGTCCTGGGTTTGAATCTCGCGAGGCGGGATCGTGGATGCGCACTGCTGAGGAGTTCCATACTAGGACGAAACGGCCGTTCAGTGCTTCCACGTTTTCCATGGCGATGTAATTTCAATTGTTTCATGATCTTAACTAGTAAAATTACTAATATCCACAATACCTCTTCTGATAATAATTATTTATTGGTTTATTAGCAATTTTATTTTCTGTCGTATTTCTGTTGACCATAGCTAATAGGCCAAACACAATAATGCAAGTTATTAGTCAACAGGTTGAATTTATGTTGCATAATTAATCGCATCTGACTTTTCACTTGGCTAATCATCCATTTTAAAATAATACGCAACTGTATATTATCATATATTTTTTTTTTAAAAACAGTAACAACGATTTTAATTTTAGACATTAAATTCGAATAATCTATTTGTAAAATCTCAACGAATGAATTTGAAGTAAATCCAACATTTTGCCTGGTAATCTAGTCCAAGCTTTTTCAAAGACAATCTTGAACTAAATTACCAGGCAAAATGTTGGATTTACTTCAATATCATTTAACCAGATTTTACAAATACATTATTCCTATTTAATGTTTTACATCAACTCGGTGGCCAAATACTGTGAAACTATTCGCTATAATTTAGACGAAAATTCTTATATATTATTCTGCAATCGCATCAGATTTTAATTTTAGTTAGATACATTTTTTTTTCTGATCATACGTAAGAGTTTTTCTTAAATAGTGAAGTTTTGTATTTTGTGTAATGTCTAATGAAATAGGTAATAAGCCAAGAACTCATTACAATGGAAAATTTCTGCTTTTTTCTGGTTTATTTAAGAACAGGTAAAACGGGTTTTCTGTTAGATATCATAATTTTTGGTTATGACTATACATGTATATATTTTAAATATTAAGATTCAGTAAATTTATTTCATTCTTTTCTTACTGATTCAAGTTAGTTAGTTACAAGCAATATGCATCGGTTTACTATATTAAACCACGTTAACACAACGAGATAAACTAACCAAAATAAAAGCCACAGAAATAAAATTACTAAGAGTATCAGTGATGGTACAAAACATTACGCATAGATAACATGATTCAAGAAGAAAAAATCCACCCATAGAATAAAAGGTATAGTAATATTTCAAAATATCTAAGGGAAGGTAAAGATTAAATGGCTTCATTATGAGTAATTTTGAGCTGCACTAACCAACGTATTCAACCATTAGTTATGACAAATACTCTGACACATAACAGGTAGTCGATACCAAATGCTCAGTTTAACAATTACTGTCTTCGTTGACTAACATCAAATCTTGATTTGGCTGCTTTCAGCTATCTCTCAATCTATTTCAACACCAGTATACATCATATATCGAGGTATCAGTACAGACATAAGTCAATCTAAATATTATTACCATTTTATGTTTCGGTTAACTAAATCCATTGATATTTGAAGGTAATCTATTGGTTTTTTTTCTACATTTTTGTGTTCTCCTAAACGTCTTATATAAACATAAAAGAATTGGAAAAATGTGAAACTAAACCAGGTTTTTGAATGTTATAATACCAAGTACTTAATAAAGAAATATTTAAAAAAAACAAATGAAAATCATACATTTTTCATAGTTGAAATCATGAGTCCATTGAAACTAGACCACCATGAAAAACCTGGAACCTTCAATTGACTGATGATTTCAACCATGAAAAATACTGAAATCTCTACAAAAACCCTTCTGAAAATCATACACTTTGTGAGTTATTAAAAGAAACAACTGATTTCAGCAGAATAGTAATAAATGTCTAGTAATCTAAATAGTTGACAAATAAGTTTTAGAGGTTATGCAGTTTCAAGTAAATCACTGCTTTAGAGATACTACTATTATAGTATTATTACTATTATCATCAACAATCTAGTCAGTGTTAAATTTATTTGAAAATATGACGTCAAATCTTGGTAGTGATAACTATAATTCTTTTGTTAAGTTAAAACAAAGCCCAGAAAAATATTTGTAATAAGTTTTACAGCTTTAAAACTGAATCTAAACTATATGAACATATTAAAAAACTGGATAACTTAACTTATAAGAAATAAATGGAGAGAATCAGTCACACTTTTTATTGACAATGAAAATTAAAAAAATGGTCATTGATCTCTTACGTTTTCTATGAGTAAAAATATGTGTTATCGGTACAGTTGAGAAGATAATTTTCGGGGAAATCTAACCATTAGATTGACATAAAAAAACACAAAAAAAGACAGAATCTACTGTCAAAAGATTTAATAACAAGATATCAGTAACGCAGTAAAATACAAAAATCAATTGTGTATTCTTCTAATACTAGAGATGTAGTGAACAGGAACACTAGATGGGGACAATCGAATGTATTTAGACACAAATTACAGACCATCTAAATAAATTCTGATAATCATACAATGAACAATTAATTTGCAAATTAACAATCGATTGTCTCGATCTTCACTGTTCCTTTTGTAAATATCAATCCATCTTCTCTAATTCCATTATTCATGCATTTTCCTACCACTTGTGCTTCATTTCACCTCTTTCCTTATCGGTCCTATGCCAAAATACATTCTGTGTCTGAACATCATCATATACTACTTATATGGATATAAGTAAACCACACTACAGAGATAGTATTAACCTTTTATATTGATCAAATGAATCTCCAGATGAAATTCAAATCAGTGGTTTGATAAAATGTATCCAGTTATATTTTACTATTATTGTGAATAATAATAACAAAATTTGTATTATTTAATACTATTTGTTTAATAACAGGAAAGTATGAAATATGTAATTATGCAATATATTTCCCTCTTAATTAGTATTCAACCTATAAATATTTGGAACACATCTGTGCAAAATCTTTAAATGGTGATTAAGATACATTCCTGCTTATTTCTAAATGTTTTCAACCAATCTTGTCTCCAAGGCACCTCATTTTATTTTATAATTAACCGACGTAGAAATTTGGTAGTAGTAGATTATCGTTTATTCAATGGAAATAATAGGAGATGAATAAACGAACCACCATTATGGTATTTTTTTTGAGTTGTGATAAATCTTAAATATTTTATGCAGTTGAATAAGTGCATCTGGTAAACAAGTGTAATCAATGAATTAAAATAAATTCAAAGCATTGTAAAAAGAAAAAAAATGGTGCACGGGATTTTGATATCTCTCAATTCTACTCAGCTTTGTTGTTACAGAGTAGAAAATAAATCAATCTAGAAGATTCCTTATACTGATGGAAATTCATGACAAGAAAAAAACAATAGCCTAAATGACTTTATGATGGTCTAGAGTATAGTGAATTTTTATTAATAAAACTCAAGGTCTATCACA